TCTGGTCACCATCATTCCTCCTGTGACCTAACCAATTTTTGAAAAAATTGGAACAAGACTTGCTAGCTCCTATATTCTTTGCCCAGCTAATGGAGGCAAGCATCCCATATCTCACTTTGACTGCCTGCGCTGACACCTTTTTTTTTTTAAGTGATGTGTAGACTTAGGCACCAAGCTCCCTTTGTTTTTGTTCCTTAGTACTCTGTCAGGACCTACCATACACTGTATATCCTTCCCTTAATTAGACCTCCCAAAATGCATCACCTTGCACTTAGCAGGATTAAATTCCATCTGCCATTGCTCTGCCTGGTTTCTCAGACTAGCCTGAGACTATCCTCCTTGCTGCCAGTAACACCAATTTTATTTGCAAGCTTACCATCAATCCTTCCACATTCGTGTCCAAATCTTGGAATCATAGAACCTCTACAATGTAGAAGCAGGCCATTAGGCCCAGCGAGTGCTGCGTACTGACCTTGCAAAGTGCATCACATGCAGACCCTCATCCCAGCTGTCCCTGTAAACCTGCCTTTTCCATGGGTAATCCACCTAACCTGCACATCTTTGGACTGGGAGGAAACCACAGACACGGGGAGAACATGCAAACTCCACACAGTCGCTTGAGGCAGGCCACATCATTTACACCCCATGCAATTATCATGTACATCAGAGGCCTTACCCTTTCCTTAGTCTTCCTTTTGATCTTAATGTGCTAGTAAAGCATCTTTGGTTTTTTTCCTGCATTTCATCTGTCAATTATATTTTTGTATCCTCTTTGCTTTCCTGATTTTTTCCTCCTTCATTTCACCTGTGTGCTTTCTATACTTGAAGTTTCCTAAATTATTACTGAGATTTGTCATAAGCTGCTGTTTTTTTTTTTCTTTCTATCCCTGTATGATTCTAGATTTGGCAGTACAACCCTGTTTTCTTTGGTTGGCGGTGGGGGGGGCGGGGGGGGGGGGGGACTTGTCCCCCACTGTCCATGTAGAATCTCACTTTTGAACACCTTGATTTGCCATTGAAGCATCTTTTAAGTTGCTGTATCCAGATAATCTGCCTTTCCCCAATTGAGAACTTTCCTTCCTGGCCTGTCTTGGTGATGCAAAATCTAACTGTGCATTATGAATATTGTCTCTAAAGTGGTCACCTGCTGTGACTTTAGCTGTCTGCCCAGCTTCACTTCATTAAATCTGGAATTGCATCCTCTGAGTTTGTGTACTGATTTAAAAAGTTATCTTGAACACAGTTCAAGAATTTTGTGCCCTTTGCCTTTCACACTGTTGAATCCTAAATAATTACCGCTATGTTGTTTTTGCACTCTCCAATTTGCCTATTTATTTGCTACTCTAACTATCTCCATGTTAAATGCCTACTGTAGACAATGTGGCTACCCCTAGTTTGCACAGAATCCATATGGCATTACTTTTTGCTTCATTTAGTTGTAATTGATTCTTTAACCAATAATGTTATGCTCCCATTTTTTTTAAACCCCTTTGTCTATGCTGCCTGAAAGTGCTGTCCAGGCATGTTGAGCTACCATCCTTGCTCCTCTTGGAGCCACGTTTCTGTCATAGCAATATCATGCTGTCATATTTCTCTGTGGCCTGAACTCATCCTGCTTTATTCCTGATGCTCCTTGTTTATGTTTCCTTTTTAACACTAACCTTTTTTTTCCTGATGTCCACTCTTTAACCTCTACTTTATGTCCTGAGTCACTGATCTAAATTTTTGCCTCGTGTTCCCTATTTTTAATTCACACTCAGGTTCTCATCATTCTGTCCATGTCCTTAACTCCCATAAAGTCTGTTTGCCTATCATGCCTGCTTGCAGGCTCCAACTTTAGAGTCACCATGATTTTGAAATTCTCCTCCTGGTTTCTGCAACAGCTTCAACCTTCCTGTTATTTAGTGTGAGCAGATTTCTCCTCATTCAGGGTTAGATGTCAGGCAAGCAGTCTGATACCTTTGGACAATGGAGAACTCCCTCCTTAGGAATTGGATTTTGTCAGTGCACGTGTGGAAACATTTAGGATGTTGCTGAGGGATAGCAAGTAAGTGAAAGGACCATCCTGGGAGCACCAGGAATGAAGTAGAGATCCTGTTGCTAAGATGTTTAGCTGTGGTTTAAATAATGGGACCAGATAATTGTTGCCCCATCAGGTTGGATGATGGTGGGGGATAGTATGATCAACTGTCAATGTTGCAGGTAAGTAAAGGATGGGTATTGTATCTTTGTCACAGTTGCAAAGGATTCCACTTATGACTGATGGCCATTTTTTGTTCTCTGTAGAAATAGGTCTTAATGTTTAGTTGGCTTTTGTAATGGACTGTCAAACTTGAAGTTGTATTTGTTGCCAGAAGCCTCTGCAGTTGGAGATTAGACTTGAACTCTACAGATGTTGCTGGATCTGCTGAGTATTTCTAGCATGCTGTTTAGCAGTATCTTTATTTTGCTTTTATTTTTGAATTACTGTTTTTAAATTTATTTAGTTGCGTTTCAGTCTGTACCTCCCACACCATTTTGGATTTTTTATTCCATTCCTCTTTGCATTCTGGTTTGGAGCACAGCTGAAGGCACTGTCAACCACAGCAGGTTGAGGGTGGGAACCTCTGAGGGAGGGATAGGAGCTGTTGGAGGCATCCTGGTGAAAGGTGGCATCATTAGAACAGGTGCAACAAGGAAATTGGGAGAATGAAATGGCTTCCTTGCAGGAAGTGGTGAGTGAGTGTAGTAATTTGGGAGTTGGTTGGCTTATAGTGAATATCAGAAATGCAACATTGAAGTCCAGGAAAGAGTTAGGGATGGACCAGGTGAAGGTGGGAGAAGGATGGAAATTGAAAGCAAAACTGATGGGCCTGAGTATTAATTCAGTTCATCTTTCATCTCCAGTCCTTAGTAACATCAGGAGGTTTGTTCAAGACATAAAACCAGCATTAAAGGAAAATACTTTGGAAACTGGAACTATGGCATGTATAGTGCAGACACGAAGTGCCAAATGTATCCCAAGTATTAAATAGTAATCTTGAAACAACCTTATGATAAGGCATTGGACCATCAGAAATTGTTCTCTAAATTCATCAAGATGTCAGTCTCATATGAAAAGATCAAAGTTTTTGTGGATGACATGAGCAATGCAGTATTGACTACTACTGTGCTCTGAATCTGTTAATTAACATCAACTCGCAATGCGGCACTAGATTTACATTGGCCAGACAGGGTAAGGGTGACTGCTTCCAGTACCTACAGAAGAATGGAGACCTATTTTGGTTTAGTCAGTTTTGTAAACTGATGTGTTTGTGGTGATTCTTTCTTTTGAATGCTGAAAGGTGAGAGGTGAGGTTTCACCAGGGTAAAGGCTGACACTATGTCACCTTTAATTGAAACTATCTTAGGTTAAAGTCCAGAATGCCAATTTTAGTCTTGTGGGCAATATCAAATTGTGTAGTTAATGAAGAACTGAAAAATCCAGGAAAGCAGTAGACATTGTGTAATGCATGATCTAACTAGATCTCAGACCTCAATGTAAATATGACATGCAATTTGATAGGAAAATGTCTTGGGACATAAATGCAAGTAAAGCAGAAGTCATTTCAAGTGGGATAGAATTCAAAAGATGTATCATACCTTGGTTAGACCCACAGTTCTCTCCAGTTAAACCTCCTTTCTTATTTTCTAAAGTGTGTAGAGATACTGGCCAAGATGGGAAAACTACTTTCTAGAATAACAGAACTGAGGTTAAATTGAACAGGCTGGGGCATCTCCATGTGGAGAAGAGACTAATTTCTGATGGAGGTCTTGATTCTCCAATAACACCAGGCAGGGGAACTCAAAACCAGGTGCCATAAATTTAAAAAAAAAAGCACAGTTCCTGTAGGAATTTCAGGAAAAGTATGTTTGTGTAGTGATTAGCTTGTGGACTGTAACTGCATGGTGTAATTGAGGCATGTGGGGTAAATGCATATAACACATCTCGTGTGCTTGCTCTTCCCTGGTACCCACCAATAGCTTTGGTAAATTCGGGTCTTCCTGCCATGCTCAAGAAGAAATTCAGTTCTAACTACTGGATGTGTGGCAACTGCATTTTTTTTTTGGGTCCCAACTCTGCAAAAGCTGTCCTTGACTGCACCTCTTGTGTACTGCTCACTATTGCAGAGCCCAGTTGGACAAATATTGCCTTTTGTTACTGTAGTTTAAGATAGCTGAAGGGTGGGGTGAAGTACTGGATTAATTCCATTGTGAGAGATGGGGGCCATATTTTCCTCTTTCTATAGTGCCACCATCCATCCATCCATCTATTTAGATTTTGATATTTCCCATCGTTGAATTTGATACATCAGGTCTCGACTTCCACACTAGATGGCACTCCTTTGCCATAGAAGCTAAATAATTAATAGAATTGGTGTTTTCCCCTGTACAGTTGAAGTGATTCTGCAAAATGGTTTTCTGAAGATGTCATTTGGACTTAATGTTAACTGTTTCCCTCTCCACAGACGCTGCCAGAACTGCTGACTTTCTCCAACACTTTTTTTATTTCAGATCTCCAGCAGCTTCAGTATTGCTTTCTTTTTCTTGTACAAATTGCTCTATCCAGAGTGAGATGTACAAAACAAATGGATTAGGAACAAAAGACTTGCAAAAATAAATTTTTTTTAATTAACCTGTTCGGAGATGTTGTTAGACATCTCTTGAGCAGGTGTGACCTGAATCCAGCTCTCCTGGCTAAGAGGAAAGACTTGCAAGCTGTACTGACTGTATGTTTTGTTGTAAATGCAGCCTTTTTCTCTAAAACTGCAATGTATTGAGTATTAGTTTTCAGGACGGGTTCTGTAAACATTTACTGCTTCGAGTTTGTGGAAGAACTGGCTTTTTTGGCTTTGGAGTTTTATTCAATTATTCCTATGTTGAACAAAGGAAGCAAGGCTGCCATATTGCTGGATGCTTCTGCATGAAGGTAATTAATTATATAAATGCTTTATTTGTTGAACTTTGGCATTCTGTTCTAGGTAGCACAGAACAATACCTGTCCACCAAAGAGGTGCCTTGTAATGACAAATAGTACTGCAACACAGACACCTGAGAAACGTACCAAAAGACTACTTGCTGAAGATAGCAAAACGTATTCTTCCTGCTCGTTGCTGAAGAGTCCTGTACGACCAAAGGAAAATAGACCTTTCTCAAGTTCAAATTCAGCAAGAGCAAGCACTGCAAAAGCTGTTGCTACCACAAGATACTTGCCATCAAGAAAATCTCCTGGGGAGTCAAAACTACTGTCTAAGTCAAGAGATTCCAGTGCTTCTACTGTTAAAACAAACTGCTGTGTGGTTTCGCGTTGTCATTCCCCTTCAGCTGTCTCCAGCTCTCGCTCTTCTCCAGCAATGAAAAGGGCAAAATCAAGTTCGGAGAGTTTTTCTGTTGCCAGCAGTTCCACCTCAAGAAGTTCTCCAGTATGCAATCCACATTTGAAAGAAAGTCGAAGTATACTTTCAGCACAAGTGTCCCCTGCCTTTGAATTATGTGCAGGTGGATTTGCAGTTGCCTCTGCTTTGAGCTCTGCAGCTTCTTCTCCAGGCTCAGCACTGACTATTTTAGCAAATGGTGCAAGTGACTGGACTGATCTCCTGGATGATGATGACAATGAAACAATAGGTAGGTTCCTCTGTCTTTTTGAGATATGGAAGTTTAACGGCTTGCCTCATGCCGTATCAGTTTATTTAATTCAGTGACTTGGCATACAGGTTCAGGTTAAGTTTATCTTTTAGCGTAGTTCAATGCGGAAGAACGTTGATTTGTTTCTGTATAGAAACACAAGACCATTCAATCCATCAAATCTGTGCCAGGATTTCTGAGCCAACTAGTCTAATCCCACTTCCCTATTCTCTCCATGTCTCTAATCTGTTTAAGCAACTCTTTAATTCCATTTGATTTTTATAGAATCTATTTTAACATTGTGACAGAATTCAACACTTATTTCCTTTTAAAATGAAAAATTCCAGTTGGATCATCTGGTGACTGGTCAAAGGGATTAATCCATCTGGGAAAACTAAACTGGATGAAGGTATATTGGATCTGGCATTGTGAAATGAAGCTGGGTAAATTGATCTTTTTAATTAAAAGTGAGGGGTGATGTTTGTGGCAGTAATTATATGTAATATGGAATTTGATTGTGGTTTAGTCAAAAGCAAGCCTTTATCCACCTAATTAATCTAGTTTGACAGAAGGTTGTTTAATATTGAATAGTTAAATAGACTAAAAGATTGGCACATAAATAGTGGAAAACATTTTAAGGAATTCAGATTCAGGAGAGTAACCAAAGAGATGAATGAAAGTGATGGAGTTGCAGTAATTAATCTCGAGTGGCATTACAATAACGTAAGGGACTAAACTTAAACTATGCACAACCTGAACAACAGCAGGCTATTGTCTCCAATCTATTCTATCAGTTAGTAAAATAATGACTGATCTGTACCTTTTTTAAATACTGTGTTGTCTGCCTTGGATCCCTATCCATTGGGTTTTCTTGTCAAACTTCAGTTGACCAGCCCATGTTAGGTTTTGTTCTCTTTCTACCTCCATATTCTTGTAACTCTTTTTTTTCCCCTCTCCATTATTGCAGCACTACTGCAATAAATATTAATGAATACTTATTTTGGGGGACCATTGTTTGTGATTTGGAACCAGCGTTGTGAAAGTTGTGGAGTGCCTCCTTAGAACTATAGTCTCCCATGATACAGATGTGTGGTGTCAGTTCATCCAGACCAAGATTATAAAAGTCTTAATGGGCAAAAGTGTGCACCCAAAATCTAATATAGGGGTCTAAGTTGCATTCTGTCAATTGCTGTTAATGGAGCCACATTGTGAGTAGGTAATTTTTAATCAACCCCTCTAGGTGTTATATACCCACCTCTGGCTCATAGACTACCACTGTGTCCTAAGAGCCTTCAAGTTGTAAGTAAGCTGACATATGGGTTAGTAGTTTGGTTTGGGAACATGTTTGGCATGGACTAGTTGAACCGAAAGGTCTGTTTCCATGCTATGTGACTCTAATTTAGCACTTTCCTGATGTGCCTTACATTAATTGGGACCTTGTAAACCTAATAATTTGGCTGTTTTAAAAATGCTGCAGACAGACACTGAATTCTCCAAGCTTGATTTAAGAAGGTAGAATACCACCTTTAGAGACAAATAAACTGCAGTTGCTGGAATCCAAGGTAGACAAACAGGAGACTGGAAGAACACAGCAGGCCAGGCAACATCTGGAGGGAAGGAGCAGTCAATATTTCGGGTATTGCCCTTCAGGACTAAAATGTTGACTGCCACTTTTCTCCAGATGCTGCCTGGCCTGCTGTGTTCTTCCAGCCTCCAGTTAGAATGCCACCTGTCTTACTAGCAGTATCTAATGAAGCTAATAAATTGGAGTCACGAGTTGCACAGAATAACCATGTCAGTGAAATAACTCCAAAGGCTGGTATCCCATCACCACGACATGCTTTATTTAACACCTGCATATTACTTGACACTGGTCCAACTTGCTCAGAGCCAGCTCTGAACAGAACCCCCTGATACTCCTGTTTGCCAGAACTCCATGATTGAACCAGGTTAACAGTCCCAATCATGGAATATGTATTCATGTCTATGGTGTTCACCTGCTACTATAATGATTGCAATACAGTACTGCAATTAGAATTGTTATGTCACTTAGTGAATGAAAATTGAGTAAGTGGTATCACTACACAGCATTGCCCCCAGTCATTTTGAGATTTCATTTGGCTTAGTTATAGTTCACTGCACTTCTAATAACTCTGTCCTGGACGAGTTCCTTAAAGTTGAAGGTGTAGTTACTGTTATGTTTCCATCTGTTAATATTAATTGTTTTTAAGTGCCCTCAAGAGAGCAGTGGAAATGGGAGCCACCGATAATTGTGGTTGATGACGATGATGACTCAACTGATAGGTTTGTTCGTTTTGCACAACTTGAAGAGGATGAAGCATTTGCTAGACAGCTTCAGGTATGTGAATAGCTACTTGGAGTCAGTCATATTGCACAGAAACAGACTCTTCAGTCCAGTTTGTCCACGCTGACTAGGATTCCCAAACTAAACTTGTCCTGTTTGGCCCATATCCCTCTCAACACTTCCTATTTATGTACCTGTTTAAATGTTGTAACCGTACCTGCATCTACCACTTTCTCTCTGGCAGTTCATTCCACATATGAACCACCCCGTGTGGAAAAAGTTGCCCCTCAGGGCATTTTTTTCTTTTTTTAAAAAGTCTTTCTCCTCTCTCTCCTTAGAATTATGCCCTCTAGTTTTGACCTCCCCCCAACCCTACGAAAAAGACTTTTTGCTATTCACTTTACCAATGCGCCTCATGATTTTATAAACCTCAATGGTCATCCTTTGACCTTCTATGCTCCAATGGAAAAACACCCTGGCCTATCTAGCCTAAGATTTCTAGGTTTCTAATTTCTTTGCATTTCTTTAGAAATAGATATCAGATCTCCAGTGTTCCAAGAATATCAGCTCTTCAATTGATGGTTTTGGCAGAATTCTAAAATTGCAGAATGTAATTCCCAAACCACAGTGAAAGTGAAAAAATCCATAATATGGTGCTAAACCCATTGAGTCACCATAACCCAATGGCATAAAGCAGTTCGCTCTGTGGTGTCACTAAAAATATAAATAGCATTTGTTCCTCGTCACTTTAAAACTTGTGTAGTAATGTTTGGAACAAAATTATACAAAGCATATAGAAGCATTCAGTTTCTGTTGCCTGTGCAGTTCTTGAGCTGTCTATTTGGTTTGGCTCTGTTCCTGTCCTGTAGCTGTGAACTTTTTTTTTGACCTCTGTATTTAATCCAGCATTTTCACTGCTGTGAAATTGTTCCATTTGCTTTGTAACTAAGCAACCGATGCCCTAAACACAACTTCATTCTTTTGTTCCTTTAAAATTAATTCTCCACATCTGTCGGCCTGTGCTCCTGAAGTTATCTGCTTTTTTTTTTTTTGTTTTTGTTCTAGATATTTTCTAACCAACTTCAACTCCAATCTATAACTGTGGCAGGTGGGACTTGTTTCAGAGATAGGGGCACAACCACTGTACCACAAGAGCCTTTCTGCTTTTGTTCTGATTTGAGTTAAGCTATCTGTTTTGGCAGGCGCAGTTTGACAGAGAAGCTCAGCAACACTCTGAAAATACAAGAACTACCTCAGTAAGTAAAAGACACCTTTTGTCTGTCTTAGGTTAATGTGAAGAACTGGTTGAGTCCAATTCATTATTCTTCAGACAGTGCGTGTTTAATTCTGGCTCCTACAGCCATTCTGCATCAGCTAACCCAGTTTTAATATTGCTGGAAAATTTTGGCAAATCCTATGTCTTGCGCTCATCAAGGCAATTCTTGAATACTAATTCAAGGGGAAAAATCATTTGCCCTGCATTAGATGACTGCTGTTTAGTTGACAAGTGGACTCTAAGTGATGCCATAAGAAATGCCCCCATTAATGACAGGTAACAGCCATGCTTTATTTAAATTTAAAACCATGTAGGCTGGCTTTGCTCAAGGCACTGCCCCGAGAGATGAATGTGCTATGGCTGTCGCCCATTTTGAATTAAAACTGGTGCCATGAGTCTTTGGGTAATCATTGGCCCTGAAATTCCACAGTACTCGTGATGCCAGTTATGTAGACTGTACTTCCCAAAGACGAGAAGTTTGCATCAAACAGCATTCCCCTTCACCTTGTTTGTCAACAACCAATTATCTTGAGGTGCAAAACCACCCCATGATTCCAAATATTGCAATATGATTCTGCAATTAGACAACATTTTGCTAGATAGTCCTGAGTAAGAGATAAATGTGGCATCCTTATGTGTACTGTAAGGTACATATTAATAGAGTCTTGTTCTTTGTAGACAGAACAGAGTTAACATTTCATGCCCAGTATGACCATTTAGTTGGTAGACCCATTGAGTTTCTCCAGCATTCTTGCTTTTAGATTTCCAGCATAAGACCACAGACACAGGAGCAGAATTAAACCACTCAGTCCATCAGGTTGCTCTGCCATTTGATCATGGCTGATATGTTTCTCAACTCCATTCTCCTATTTTCTACCTGTAATCCTCAATCCCCTTACTATTAAGAATCTACTTGTGTTTTAATGACACAATGATTGGGCCTCCATACCTTTCCGCAGCAATCGGTGTTCCTGCTCTGTTCCTTCTGCCAGTTGACAAATCCTCTATCCGTGCTAGTACTTTGCCCCCAACACCATGGGTTCTATCTTTTATTTAGTAGCTCCCTGTGCAGCACCTTGTGAGAAGCTTTCTGGTTATCCAAACAGATCATGTCCACTGGTTCTCCTTTTGTCTAATTTGCATGTTACCACCTCAAATTCTAATGTTTGTCAAACGTGACCTCGTGAAACTGTACTTGATCAGCCCTCTTTTACAATACAGTTCCAAGTCCTCTGCAGTCTTGTCCTTTATTAATAATGGATTCTAAAGTCTTACCAACAATAGCTACTAATTTGATTATTGGCTACTTCCAGATTGAAGGTAAACAGGAGAAATATTTGCAGACTTCTAATTAAAGGCCAGTACAAAACTTATTAATTTTTTTAATATTTAATTTTTGAGAGATCCTGTGTCAGGTGATGTAATAACTGCATAATTGAGCGCTGATGGGCTTCGTTTGTACTTCGTAGTAACCATATCTGTAGTAAGTAATCCACAATGAGGGTTAGGGTGCATATAATCTTACCTTTTTATAGATATTTTTTCAAAAAAACTTGCGATCTTCTTATTAATAGCTTGCTTATTCTGACACCACCACTTCTTTTCCCCCAACCTATATTGCTTTAAGTTATCCTCTGGTTTTTAAAAGGTTTCCCAATCCTCTAGCTTGTCACTAATCTTCACCACATTGCCTGGTTTTTCTTTTCTGCTCTTATTGCTGTCCCTGACTTTGACAACCATGGTCCCCCCTCAAACGGCAGGGTGAATTCTGTCATGAGGGTCACTGTCACCTTGGAGTTCCTTTTTGCTTTCCACTCCTTAATCAAGTCTGCCTCATTAGATGTAACCAGATCCAGAATTGCCTGTTCCCTAGTAGACTTTATCACATGCTTTTTTTGGGAGCAATCCTGTAGACATTACATGAATTCCTTTTTTAAGATCCACTACCAACCTGATTTTTCCCAGTCCACCTGCATATTGAAGTCCCCCATGATTATTGTAATAATGCCTTTCTTAGAAGCCTTTTTCAGCTCCTGATTTCATCATCATCCCCACAACCTGATACTGCTAGGAGGCCTATACACAACTCCTAACCCAGTCCTTGTTTTTTTTTCATGGTTCCTCAACTGTACCCACACCAATTCTATACCTTCTGACTTTCTATATCCCTCTGTGCTATTAACTTTATTTCATTTGCGAACAAGGCAATCCCACTCCCCTGCCCATTTGCTGTTCTGTTTTTGATAGGATGCATACCCTTGGGTATCTTTTTCTCCCCTGCCCTGATCCTCTTGCAGCCATGTCTGTGATACCCACAACATAATTGCCCATTTCAATCTGTGCTATAAGCTTTATTTTATTTACTGTGAGCATTTAAGTACAACACTCTCTCAGTCCTGCATTGACTGTCCCCTCGTCTACTGCTGTGCCTGAAGTTAGATTCCTGATCTCTTTCCATACTGTCTCCATGTAATTAAACCCCCTGGCCACTATTTAAAATTAAAGCCTGATCTATAGCCCTAGTTAACAATTGGTCAGTACTCTGGTCCCAACATGATTCAGGTGGAGCCTTTCCCATCAGAACAGCTCTCTCCTTCCACATATTGGTACCAATGTCCCATGACTTGTTTCTCCTACAGCAAGCTTTGAGTCCCACGTTTATCTGTTTAATCTTGTTGACCCTGTGCTAATTTATTCTTGGCTCCATAGTAATCCAGAGATGATATTGCTTTTTTTTTTTAAGTTTTACTTTTTAAATTAACCCCTAGCTGCTTATTCCCTCAGCAGAAACATTTTTTTATATATAAAACCTATATCATGGTACCTACATGAATCTTGTCCCTCCCACTCCAAATTCCTGTCCGAACAGATGAGAAATCCTGAACCTAGGCACTAAGGCAACACAGCCTTCAGGACTCTCTCTATTCTGGCCACAGTAGAGTGTCTAATCCACTACCTGTGCTTTCCCTGATTACAGCTACATTTCTCTTTCCTATTTTCTCTTTTCTGCATGCCCACCACCTCCCCCTGAATGACTCTGAGGTATGATGCTATGGTCAATTTGCTCATTCCTCCATACAGTTCCTGCTCTCATCCAGAGGGTACAAGAATCTACAATCTGTTAGACCAGCTTGAGGGCTGAGGTCCCTTTAGCACTACTTCCTGGGATCCCTCTATCAACTATCAAAAATACTGAAACAGATGAATGTGGTTTTAGAAATTAAGAATTTCTATCGGTGCGAAAGGGATATTGAGCAACAGACATTTTATCAGATTGTCAGAAATAAACTTTCTATGGTGGCACGGTGGCTTAGTGATTTGCACAGCTGCTTCAGCGCCAGGGACCTGGGTTCAATTCCACCCTTGGGTGACTGTCTGTCTGTGTGGGTTTCCACCAGGTGGCCCAGTTTTCTCACAGTCCAAAGATGTGCAAGTTAGGTGGATTGGCCATGCTAAATTACCCATAGTATTCAGGGATGTGTAGGTTAGGTGTGTTAGCCATGTGACGTGCAGGGTTGTGGGGATGGGTCTGGGTGGAATGCTCTTCAAAGGGTGGGTGTGGACTTGTTAGGCCAAATAGCCTGCTTCCACACTGTAGGGATTCTATGTACTCTAACCCTGATTATGGATATTTACTACAGATGTGGTCACTACGAATTACAATAGGCCCATCAGTGCTCAATTACGCAGCTACAACACATTGCCTGACCCAGGGTATCTTTTACTTAACTTTTTTAATATTTAAATTTTAAGTTTCAGACTGGCCTTTAATTAGTAGTCTGCAAATATTTCTCCTGTTTACCTTCAATCTGAAAGTAGCCTACAATCGTCAAATTAGTAGCTATCATTGACCAATGACTTGTCACTTTATGGTGGGCCCTGATCCTGGGCTTCAATTTATCCTGTTTTTTTTTGGGGGGGTGGTCTTAGAAACTGAGCCAAAAAAGCATGCAAAACACTCTCTTCCCTCTGAACTGAATTACCACTCTGCCTCCAAACTCTCTACCTTGGACAATCTCTCACTCGGATGATCTCTTCTTCCTGACTGTGTGAAAAGTTTACTGATCTGCATACTTTTAAGTTACTATTTGTATAACCAAGCTTTCTTGCCTACATCTGAGGTGAATATCACCCAGCGCTGAGCAAATGGCATCTTCTGCCTATATGTCTGGAAAGTTCAGTAAGGAAATGGTCTTTTCATTTTGAAAGTGCAGAAACAAAATGTTATTCTTTTACAGACAATGGAAAATTCCCATGAATTTTGTGGATTGCCTGGATGTTCAGAGTATGCGGGTTTATTAGCTTCTTCAGACATTGGATATTGTGGGAAGCCTGGATGTACTGAGTTTCGGCACCAAAATGGAATGTTGAGTCCTGAGCGAATTGACCCTGTTCTTGATGATCTGCAAAGATTTTTCAATGAGACAAGTGGTAAGTGTGTACTGATGCATATCAATATGCTTAGGTGACAGAAGTTGTTTGAAATGGTAATAGAAAATCATGGATCTTATCCATGGCTTGATTTACACTTTAATAAAGACAGTGTTTGCTGAACCTGTAACTGCAGACAAGCGCTCGTGTGCTAATTTGGGAGCACTCAACTCGTCATGCATGAAATGCTACATAATGACGTATGCGCTTTTGCAATGGGGTTCAGTCCAGGGAGAGGTAAACCCCTGAGGGAAGAGGGCTCACAAGCTGGGGTGGGGGGGCGGCCAGGTAATATGAGGAGAAGCTGGGAAGTCCTCTGATCCTTTCCCTTTTTTCTTCCCCCTTGCACTGTATTTCTACATATACTCCAAAAGCATTCGTGGGATTCTCCTTTTTAAATTTGCTTGCTAGTGCTTTTCATTCTCCCTTTTTTTTTTTCAAAAAAAAACATGTGTACACACTCCCCTAGTGGCCTTTGTAAACTCCTCTTTCTCTCCTACACCTGCCTTCCCCACCTGACAGGCACATGTGTGCACATATGGTCTACACTCCATTAGGGCCTCTTTAGATTAACTCTTTTTGCACTTGCTAAAAACCTCTCTTTCTCTTCCTCTTTTTATCGAGTCCTGAATATTCCCAAACATCCAGGATTCTCCCAAAAAAGGAACATTGTTGGACCTGTACCCTCCCCATTTCATTTAGATTCTACAGTGCTGCGCACCTTCTCCCCCCACCCCACCGCACGCACGCACACACACGCAAAGTCTTGCAGTACATTTTTCAACTAGCTGTTCCCAGTGCTACCTTGGCCGAATCCTGACTTATGTTAATGTTGTGTTTCTCCTCCTGCCCCAACCTCACCCATTCGTAACCTTTTTTCAAAAATTTCAGTTGTCCTCAAACTTGTTGCAAATTCCTCTGCCTTTGTGTATTGTTGCACACATTTTGACACCATTAGTCAAGGTGCAGTTTGACCAGAGTGTTCTGTCCTGACCTTCAAGCTGAGGCTTTTAACACAACCAAAGTGACTTGAAAGTAAAATATTTTAGATTATTTTAAAAGCTGCATTATTGCTAAACAACTAAATCTATTTTTTTCCTCCCCAATGTTTAGGTAGAAGCAGGAGACCCAGAAGACACAACCGGCATCAGCATACTTCTGTGTATTTAGATGAAAGTGTAAATGATGGTAATGACTATGAGGTGAGTAGATGCATTTTTTTTCATTGCTCACTGCACAATCTGTGTGAAATATTGGAGGCTAGCAATACCAGCATCAAGAAGCCTTTTTAATACTGAACACCCATAAGACTGCATCCAACATGTTTGACAAACTATAAATCTGTCTAGTTTCAGCAGCTGTCTTTACATTAAAAAGTACAATAAATTTATTTTTTTTAAACCCAGGAACTCTTGGCTTATGAAGAAAGACAGGGCTCAGCTGTTGCGCAGAGAAAACTCAGTAGTGTTGAGATTAACTGTTTACCAGTCAAGTTATTTGATCCAGCACATGCTGCAGAAAAGACGCAGTAAGTAAAAGTTTGTTCTTACTTTTGGGTTGTACTAGCATTTAGCTTTAATTTTAAGCTTTTCCAATTCTAAGGTGGAAAAAAAAAAACTGCCTGATCCATTCATGGATGTTGGTGGTGTTAGTTAGGCCAATGTTTATTGGTCATCACTGACTCACCTTGAAGTTGTGGTAAGTCCTGCTTTGTACCCCTGCAGTTTATAAGATGTGGATAGAACCCCTTTCCATACCACCGGTGGGTGTGAGATTTTGATCCAGCAACAGTGCAGGAATAATTGTGGTTCCAACTTTGGACACTTCTTGGAGGGGAAACTTGCAGATGGTGTTCACATACGTGTTCATCTTCATGGTGGAGGATGCAGGTTTGTTAGATGCTGTTGAGGAGCCTGGGTGAATTACTGCAGTGATTTGTAGACTGCACAGTGAGAGTCGGTGAAGGGGGTGGATGGGGTGCTAATCAAATGGGCTGCTTTTGTCCTGGATGATGTTGAACTGAGTGTTAGAACAGCATCTGTTCAGGCTAGTGGGAGAACATTCCATCACACTCTTGATTTGCACTTTTGTAGATGGACTAGTATTTGGTGAGACAAGTGAACTATTTACTGCAAAATTCTGACCTTCTGTGGTCAATGGTCATCCTCCCTCCTTGTGACATTGGTGGGTGATACAGCTGTTGGAATGTACACGACTGTCATGGAGTGGTGGCTGTACTTGGATACAGAAATTCATTAAAGATCCTAAGGCAGCATTTTCCAAACCTACGACGACTCCTGTGTAGAAGGACAAGAGCAGCAGATGGGAACATCAGCTCCAAACCGTTCATTGTCCTGACTTGGAAAGTATCACCGTTCCTTCACTGTCACTAAGTCAAAATACTGGAGATCTTTCCTAATGGCATTGTGGGTCAACCCCCTACAGCCTGTGGACTGCAGCAGCCCAAAAATGCGACTTACCACCACCTCCACCACCTTGGGTAACTAGGGACAGGCAATAAGTGCTGGCCCTGCCCACAATGGCCATGCCCCAGGAGTGAATTTTTAAAAAATCACTGCCTGCCACTTTGTGGAATGGTTGGCTGTTACTTGCTGCTCAGCAGAGAGCTATCCCACTCAAATACCATTTGACACTCGTTTCACTCCGATTCCTTGATGTCATACTTTGTCAAATGCTATTTTAAGTACTTGGGGCAGTCTCACTCCTGTCAGTTCTGGGATTCTGCTCTTTTTGCCCGTGCTTGCACCATAATCGGGTCAGTAGCCAAGTAGCACTAGCATAATCGAAGCTGAGTGTTGGCGAGCAGATTCAAACTGAGCAAGTGTAGTTGATATTGTCCATGACTCCTTTCCACAGTTTGGCTGGTAATTGGCCAGGCTGTATTTGTTCTGCATTGGCATATACCCATCAGAGTTGTAGCTAAACTGGAACAGCTTGGCTTGGGTGTGGCTAGTTCTGGAGCACAAGACTTCAGTACTTTTGCCAGAATGTCATCAGGGCCCATAGACTTCAGTTTTTGGTCACATGCTGAGTAGCATTGGCTGATGACTGGCACCTATGAGGCTGGGGAACTCAGGAAGTGGCACGCTCTTGGCACTTCTGGCTGAAGATGGATGCATTTGTTTCAGTGTTGTCTTCCGCTTGATGTGCATAGCTCTGCATTGTTGAGGATAGGAATATCTGCTTCCTGCTATGTAATTGTCTATTCCTATCCATGTCTGCACGTGGCAGGGCTAGGGAGCTGAGGTCGGATCATTTGTCTATGGGATACCTCGGCCCTATCTAGCATATGCTGCCTCTATTTGAGCATGCAGGTACTATAAGAACAGGAATAGGCTGTTTAACCCTTTTGAGCCTGTCCACCATTCATCAAGATTGTGGCTGATCCAATCTTCCTCACTGCCCTTTCCCTGTAACCTTGATTCTCCTGATCAAGAAACTATCTAGCTCAGTCTTAAATATGCACAAGGACTCTGCCCCAACAGCTCTCTGCAGCAAGGAGTTCCAAAGACACTCGATCCTCAAAGAAATTTCTCATATGACTCTATCTCCGTCTTAAATTGGGACCCCTTTATTCTCTGTGGCGTCTGGTCCTAGACTGTCCCATGAGGGGAAACATCCTCTCAGCATTTACCCTCCAAGCCCCTTAAGAATCCTATGTTTCAATGAGCTCACCTCATTCTTCTGAACTCCTTGGAGTAGACTCCTGACCTCTTTAAGTTTTGCTCATAAGACTAGGGAATCATCCTAGTGAACTTTCTCTGAACTGCCTCCAATGAAATGATATCTTCCCTTTTAAAGGGGCCAGAACCGCTTAGTGCTCCAGATGTGGTCTCACCAGCACCTTGCACAATCGCAAAAAGACCCCCCCCCCCCCCCCCCCCCCCCCCCCAAGGAGGGGATATCCTACCATGTTTTACCTGATGACTCCAGAACCTTGAATTTGTACTGCAATGTTGACGGCTCCTATGGCTGCTCCCTCCTGACTAGGTGCCTGCCACTCGGTCATCCCCTCTAATGTCTTGTCCTACCAGCAGGACAAATCCGTAGCAAGGACGGAGGGAGTGGTATTTGGGAATTTGTCTGAGGTATGAATCTGAGAGTAAAACTAGCCAAGCAACAGCCTGACATGGTACAATGGGACAATTCTGCCAATGTTTGCACAAGTCAAGTCCCAGATGTTAAGGAAGACTGCATGGTCAAGGCTGGGTTTGCTATTGTTTCCACGCCCTGGCTGATGTCAGGTGATCTGTCTGTCATTCATTCTTTTCTGTAGACTTATTGTAGCAGTTTAATACAGAGTTACTAAGCTATTTCAGAGGGTGGTTAAGAGAACAACATGGTCTCATTTACATGGGACAGCAATAATTTCATGGTTTTTAGTGACTCAGTTCAAATTCCAGCATCTGAATGCTATGGGAATTAGCATGGGTCTCTAGATTACTGATCCAATTTGGATAGCATGCATCAGTGAAGACTTATCCCTGGAATGAATGGTGTTGAATCTCAACTGAGTCAGTGAAAACCAGTTTCTGATGCAGGAACATCCTTTTTTAATGTTTTTATCATCAGTCAAGCTTGTAGATCTTGTCAACTTGATTTAAATTGGCTTTATTTTCTCATCAGGTGGAAGGTTTGAGCCCTGATTAAATACATTGAGAATTGAAGATGGGAGCAAAAGCTATTGGTTCCCTCAACCTATTCGCGTCCAGCTGTTCAAATGGAGCTGAACATTTGCTTTATTTCACCTTGCTTTTCAAACGCTTAATTTTTAAATTGTTACCTATATTGGGTCCTTAACAGTGAAGTATTCTGCTTTCTGATATCTTGCAGTGGAGGATAAGGGAACACTTTTGTGGTGTGTCTCCTTGTTACTAATTCAACCAAATGGTGGAAATGTTCTCCCTTGTCCTCCGCCTTATTTCTAACATTCTTAGTGGGATACCTAGCATGTTGTGGTTGAAGTAAAACTGCCTGAACTAATTTTGAGCTGATACAGAACTGGAGAAATGACCATGAAAGCCGCCAGGTTGTAGATGACCTGGGGTCCTTCAAATCTGCATGTGATTTCAGTTTTGCATAAAATATAACTCCTAATGCCCTCCAAGGGAGTCAGCCACCTTTTTCAACTGCGCTTGGCATTAAATGCACTCTTGCCGGTATTGTGCATCAAGTTTATACAATTGCATCATTAATTCAATTTTTATATTTGCTATATAAATTGTATTAATTTGAGAAATTCATAGTCAAACACAATAGCTCTTAAACTCCATTGTTCCTCATTAACCTGTTTGAGTCGTAGAGATGTATAGCATGGAAACAGACCTCTTGTTTTGGTCCAACTCATTCCATGCTGATCCGATCATCCTAGATAAATCTAGTCCCATTTGTCAGTGTTTGGCCTGTATCCTTCTAAACCCTTCCTATTTATGCAGCCATCCAGATGCCTGTTACATGTTGTAATTGTACCAGCCTGCTCTACTTTGGCAGCTCGTTCCAGACACACCATTCTCTGCATGGAAAAAGTTGCCACTTAAATCTGTTCTAAATCTTTCCGGTCTTGCCTTTTAAACCTATGCCCTCTAGTTTTTGACTCCTGCACCCTGAGGAAAAGACCTTGTCTGTTTACCCTGTCATTGCCCTTCATGATTTTATAAACCTCCTAAGGTCACCGCTCAGCCTCTGATGCTCCAGGGAAAATAGCCCCAGTCTATTCAGTCTCTCCCGATAGCTCAAACCCACCAACCCTGCCAACATCCTTTGTAAATTTTTTTTTTTCTGGACCCTTTCAAGTTCCTCAACATGCTTCCTATAGCAGGGAGACCAGAATTGCACGCAGTACTCCAGAAGTAGCCTAACCAGTGCCCTGTACAGCCTCCAAGATGACCTCCCAACTGTTAATGCAGTGCTTAATAAAGGCAAGTATACCAAACTCCTTCACTGTCCTGTCTACCTGCAACTCCACTTTAAAGGAACTATGAACCTGCACTCCAAGGTCTCTTCATTCAGCAGCTCTCCCCAGGACCTTACCATTAAGTATACAAGTCCTGCCCTGATTTGCCATTCCAAAAATGCAGCACTTCCCTTTACCTAAAATGCCATCTGCCACTCCTCAGCCCATTGGCCCATCTGATTAGATTCTGTTGTACTCTGAGGTATCCTCCTTCGCTGTCCACTACGCCTCAGATTTTGTCATCTGCAAATTTACTAACCATACCTCCTACATTCACATCTAAATCGTTTAAGAAAGCAATGGACCTAGCACCAATCCTTGTGGCACACCCCTGGCCGCAGGCCTCCAGTCTGAAAAGCAACCCTTCACCATGACCCTCCTGTCTTCTACCTTCAAGCCAGTTCTATATCTAATTGGCTAGTTTTGTTTGTATTCCATGTGATCTAACCTTGCTAACCAGTCTACCATGAGGAACCTTGTTGAACACCTTACGGAATTCCCTATAGATCACGTCCACCGTTCTGCCTACAAAAAAACTCAAGTTAGTGAGACACAATTTCCCACTCTCAAAGCCACGTTTACTATCCTAATCAGTCATTGCCTTTCTAAGTATGTGTAAATCCTGTCCTTTGGTATTCCCTCCAACAACTTGTTCACCACTGATGTCAAACTGACAGATCTACGTAGTTCCCTGGCTTTTCCTTACATTCTTTCTTAAATAGTGGCACCAGGTTAGCCAACCTCCAGTCTTCCAGCACCTCACCCATGGCTATCGATGATAACACATCTCAGCAAGGGACCCAGCAGTCACTTCCCACACTTCTAGGATACACCTGATCTGGTCCCAGGGATTTACCCACCTTTGTTTTAAGCCATCCAGTACCACCACCTCAGTAACATGGACATTTTTCAAGATGACGCTGTCTATTTCCCCATGTTCAAGTATTTCCATAATCCTTCTCCACAGTAAACACTGATGCAAAACACTTAGTATCTTCCCCTGTCTCCTGTAGTCTACACGTAGGTGGCCTTGCTGATCTTTAAGGACCCTATTCTCTCCCTAGTTACCCTGTTTTTGTTTTTTTTTAATCTTAATGTATTTGTAGAATCTCTTTGGATTCTCCTTAACTCTATTTGCCAAGACTATTTCATATCACCTTTTTCGCCCTCCTGATTCCCTCAAGTATACTCTACTGCCTTTGTATCCCCCTAGGGATTCACTCAATCCCTGCTGTCTATATGTGACATGCTTCCTCTCTTTTTTTGATCAAAACCTCAATCTCCAGTTGTGCAGTATTCCCTACACCTTCCAGCCTTGCCCTTTGCCCTAACAGGAACATACTGTCCTACTGTCCCTGAACACTCATATTTGAAGGCTTCCCATTTCCCAGCCTTTTTTTTTTCTTTTTTCTTTTTTTAAACCTGCAAACATCTGCCCCCAATCAGTTTTTGAAAGTTCTTACTTAATACTGTCAAAGTTGGCCTTCCTTCAATTTAAACTTTACCTTTTAGATCCAGTCTATCTTTTTCCAACACTTCTAAAACCGAATTATGGTGACTGGCTCCAAAGTGTCTTATTTCTTATTTCTTGCTGTCAGCTGCAAAAACGCCTGTCTGTGCCTCTGGCTAGAGTCCCTTATCACAATCAATGGCTTGGAACCTGACATATCCCTCATCACGTTAGTGCCAGTCTTGTACAGTCAGGTTTCTGGTACCATGCTACATTCCCTGAGTCCGCCATCCCCTACATTTTCCAAAACAGCATACTTGTTTGAGATGGGGATGGCCACAGGAGACTCCTGCGCAACCTGCCTCCCTCTCCTACCTTTCCTGGCAGTAACCCATCCATCTGACTGTATATTTGGTTTTTCTCCCTTCCTACAGCATTTGTCCATCACAACCTCTACCTTCTGTAAATTCCCCATTGCCTCTAACTGCTGCTCCAACTGATCCATCTGATCCAATCAGAGTCACAACGGCACTTCCTGCAGACATAATTATCAGTAATATGGAAATCCTCCCTAATCTCCCACATCTGACAGGAAGAGCAGCTCACTCTACTAAAGGCCATCTTTGCATCTTAACAATCTACAGATCCAGAAAATAGCAGTCTTACTGCTCTTTCTTTCAAAAAAAAACACTGCTGCAGGCTAATTTAGTACCTACGTTTTATCGAGGCAGATCACAATAAAACATATAATCAAAGAACCCACTCTACTCAGTAGCTTTACAAAATAAACAGTAAAATTGCACTTTTAAAAAGCCACTTTCCTGCTCCCCTGCTGTGAGCTCTTTTTATGCAGATTTCTCAAAGGTCAGCTGTGAATTTCACTTAATTTTTCTTGGACGAACTCCAATGTCACGAGATACTTGAAATCAAACAGCAGAGGCAATAGCTGTACACACTTGCTGCTGGGTTGGACAGCGGTGTAGATTTCTTTCTCCATTGGAATCCCTTCCCTGATTTCAGCTCTTGTGGATCCTTAATTATTTTCAAGACTAAGCTAAAACTATGATCTATAAGTCATGCTTTGTTTATTAAATTGTGATTAGTTCTTATTAATTATCACACTTATTTTTCCATTTGTACACCTGAATACATTGCTAATGATATGCATAATAGCATGGGTCTTTAATCCATCAGTATTGACAACCTTAGTTCATTCATTTTCATCTATAATTTTGCTGTTTCCTTTTTTTGATTATTAATTTCTTGTACCTTTTTTCTGCTTTGCTTGTGTCAAGGACTTTTTTTCTTTCCTACATAGTATTAAACACCCATTATTTATTTCTTTTTGTTAATCGAGTAGCAATTTTTGTGCCTTCACACTTGTGGTGAAATGTATTTAATCTCTTACTATTAAGTATCTGCTACTTTATTCTCCCTGGCAATGCTCTTTGGTCAAAATATTGTCCTTTTAATTGAGCAGACAAACTTGAGCCTTATTACCCTGTCATGTCTCCAAGGTAACTTAAGGATGTCAAAGGTGTGGCTGGCAATCGAATGGTTGAGACTTATCCAGAGACTTGAACATAATCTAGGCTAATGTTTGTTTTCAGAAAACTGCAGCCAAATGGCATCTGACTCTTCAGAGCTGTTTACAATCCGATCCAACCGTGTCAAATAGATTTAGAAAATCTCATGCCACAACTTGTAGAAAAGCACAAGAGTTCCTTGTTCTTGATGACATTTGACTGTCAATTGATATCCCCTAATATAGATAATTATCTTGTACTATTTGTGGCATCCTGCTCAGTGCAAATTAGCTGCATTAGAGCAGTAATTAGTTTAGTCCCAACTCCACAAATTTACATGGGAGACTTCGCTTAAAATAGCAATGTGATGTTCAGCATTTCTGCATTATCCCAATGTTTTATTCAGTGTAATTAATTTGTGCAGTTTTGGTAGTTGATTTGTGTTTGCTTTCATAAATGACGTAAGTGCAATTTTTCTAAGTTGAGATGTGCATTAGTAAAACATTCATCACATTAATCTCCATCAGGTGTCATATCTGCTTCAATGACTACATGCCTAAAGAGAAGTTGAGGATCTTGCCATGTCTTCATGATTATCACAGAAAATGTATTGACCGCTGGTTAAAGGTATTATTTAGCAAAAGAAATGCTCTGGCGCTGGCGGCTGGGTAGAGACTGGGTCCATTTGAGGTTAAACGGTATAGACACTAGAAAATAAACACTGCAGACTCAAGATTTTAATTGCAAGGTACTGCACGGGTAAAGCACTTTTGAATTTGTGGTTGTTGAGGATATAAGGTTACTAATTAGCTACTGTCAGATGAAAACTTGCTTTTTCTGAACCTAAAATCAATTGGGTGAAAGAGTTAACAGAGCCTTTTTAAACTTAAAATCTGAAGTTTACATAGAAACTAGTTAAAATGTAAGTGTGTATTTTATGGACTTGTTTGAACCTAGTAAATGTAAACTTTTGAGATTCAGCAGTTACAGATTCAATTCCATCGCAATTGTGATGGTGCTGAAGAAGGCAGTTTGGCCCATGTCTCCACAGGTCTTGAGCATTCTGGCTTGAGGCTGTAATCCTGTATATGATTTCTAATCAAATGATCATCTAAATGCTTTAATAATACCTCCATGGCACTATATACACAGTACTCAAGCTGAGGTCTAACCAGTGTCTGAGTTTCTCTATAAACCCCTTTATTTAATAAAGCCCAGATTAATGCCTTATGAACTGCTTACTTCACCTGTCCTGCCATTTTTAATGACCGGCACATACATCCTAGTTGCTCCAACACACACTCTTGTCTGTTCATGTTTCTAACAAAATATATTTCTTCAAAAAAAGCAAGTTAAACATGATTTTCCCTTACGAAATCCATGCTGTCCCTCTATAATTGATTTTTGTAATTATCCATGTGACTATACTTCTATTCCAAATAATTGTTTCTAGAAGTACATCAATCACTAGAATTTAAACTGGTGCCTTTATTGGGCTTATCCTTGCACCCTCTTTTTGTACAAGGATGTAACGTTTGCAATTCAGCTGTCCAGCACCACCTTCGAGTCTAAGGAAGACTTGCATTATGGCCAGTGCCTGCATAATTTCCACACTTGCTCTCTTCCCTTGGTTTCTTGTTAAAATTGACTCTGGGATTGCAGAAAATGCAGCAGTGATAGTTCTATCTACCTAGCCAAAAAAAGTCGCACTTGGTACACTTACGTTTTTGAACTGGATTCTTTGTAAGTAAGTGGAATTCCTATACTTGACCCTCCATTTGATCAATTTCCCTTTTAAAACTGTCCTTTAAAGAACTCCTGTTACAGAAACCATTTAATGTACAAATTAAAATGCAGATGATGCACTAAGATGGGCTTTAAAATCTATTCAGCAGTTTGGTGATAGTAATAGTTGGTAGTAATATTAAAATTTAATTCAAAGATTAATAATTGTTTCTATCCTGCAGGGAAACTCGAGTTGCCCTATCTGCAGAGTCGATGTGAATTTGGATCAGTCTTGACAAGCATAAGAACTACCAGAGTCATGAGTTAGTGCAATAAACTATTTGACTTGAATACTGTTTTTTAAGATGCATTCAATTGTGCATAGGTGAAACTTTGTTTACGTGGTTTTATTTCTATAAAAATGATTGAGAATTAACAGTTAACAACTTAATGTATATTGTTTAATATCCCTTTTTGAGAACTGATCTCTGAATCCTTTTTTAAATAAAAGACTAAAATAAAGCTTAAAATTCAGAATAACATTCCATATTTTCACTTGCTACACAAATAGATGTTTCTTTGAATATTAGACAATTAAATCACAAACTTTAACATGCTATGGGTGTTGCAACTCATCTTCCAGATTATTGCATTAGCATCACTAAGATCAACTTAGTATAGTTTTGCTTAGGGTTCAATAAATCTTACTAGTGTAAGAAAGACCAATATGTTCCTCATGGAAACTAAGATTGCTGGCGTTTAACATGCCTTACATGTTGTCTGCTCCTAACGATAGGAAACTTAAAAGTTGCAGTAAGATTTAATTTTGTGCCTGTTTTAAAAAAGTAATTTGTCTTGACTACAATACAGTACATATTGGAGCTCCCATTGCTGGCAAGGTTAAGATAGAATGGGAAGATTTGCAGGTTTCTTTGAGGACAAAGGTATTCAATGGAAGCTAAACAATCCTTGGAGCAAAGTGTCTGGAATCGCCCTGACCTGGTTTTGTACACCTTTGTTGCTGACCAGTTGTGTCAAGTAAATGCTCAGGAGTCTGACTTAACCTTAGACCTCACCTTAGTGTTGAATGTTTTATGTTATGTTATGTTATGTTATTTAAAGTCAGTTCCCTCAAACTAAACAGCTTATCTATTTTACATTTTTCTGCAAATTGATTATTTAAGATAACATTTGTATTTACAGATATCATGACTTGAATGTGTTTTTTTTTTGCAGTTTGAAGTCTCACAGCATTTTAAAAAAAATGCCTTCATAAATTGGCAAATAAGACAAGACAAATGTGATTTACTACTGTTTAGTTTTGGTTTAAAACTTGTGTACAGTACCTTTTTTAAACTTGCAAGCTTTCAACAATTTTTGTACTGTCCAGTTTTTAGCATGGTGCTCAACAGCCTGTGAATCTTAAAAGTGACATCCAGCAGTGTTGGATACTCTGCTGAACATAATCTGAAAAGGGTGCACTTACAAGAATACTAAACTCTGCTTGTTGTTGAATGAATAACTCTATCTGCATGAACTGCAGGCTACATATAGATTGACCATTCACACAAGTTATTTACAAATCCAAAGTTGAAAATAGAATTTTTTTTATACTTTGTCCTTTTATGTATCAGTCACTTTTATCAAGCATTATTGAATAGCTTGATGTATATGTGTGGTAATATCACTGTTTTTGTTTGAATCTGTTGTCTTGATGTCAATGTTTGAACATAAATGTACTGAATTTAGTTTAATTTGTAATTAAAGTGTCAATACATTAGTTCTGCTTTTTTTTTTTAAAATGGCCAATGATAGCAGCAGAGCAAAAGAGGAACTTATCAGAATTACTAGGGGGAAATCTAATGGGAACAAAGGCTCTCAAATCCCCAGTACCTGATGGCTAGCCAGCTGCAGGATGCAGGTCATTTGGCAGATAAAAGTGACAGGGAAAGTCAGACTGTCTACTTTGGCAGCCAGAGAAGAAAAGCAGAATATTATTTGCATGGAAACAGCAGAATTCTGCTGTACAAAAGGAACTAGGTGTCTTTGTACACCCCCATACAATTAGCATGCAGGTACATCTAGTAATTAGGTGAATGAAATGTTGATCTTCACTGCAAACACAATGATTTAAATAAAATTGAGACATTTAGTGAGACTGTACCTAGACTCTACAGTTTTTTTTGGTTCTTTATAAGGAGGAACCTTTAGAAGCTAGGCTGATTTGTTAGAATGAAGATGTTGGTTTACAAAAAGCTTTATTGAAACCTGTGGGATTCTGTGGGTACTTTAACAGGATAGATGCTGAGGATATTTCCCCCTTTATGGAGAAGTCTAGAACTGGGTCACAGTTTCAGACTAATGGGTCTTCCATTTCGAGATGGAGATGTAACATTGACTTTTCTGTCTGCATCCCAAGCAGGCACAGCAGTGTCCACCATTCACTAAGGTCATGACTGAAACCTCAATTCCATTCTGTTTGCCTATAGGACATAGTGATACTGAGAATTTGTTTCTTTTAATGCTTAATACATGGAAACATCTATCATAATAAGTGCATAATTTTTACCAAATATTAAGTGGCTTGGAGGAAATGAATGAACTATAGCCAAATTTGCAGATGAGAAGTTGGTGGAAAAGCAGGTTGCAAGAGGGTTACAAACAACTTATCAATTTTTCTGTAAACTGGGTTTAAACTTTGGCAAATAGAGTATAATGTGGGAAATGTGAAGTTCTTTTTGCAGCTTTGCAGAGGAGAAAAACAATCAAGGACTTGAGTCTACTTATGCACAAATCACAAAGCTAGTACACTGAAAATTGTTTCATGTAAAATTTATAGCAGTTGAATGCTGACCAAATATAGCTACAAAGTTCCTGAATTTTGCAAATTGCTGAAAGTTGCAAATTGATACTTTTCAGCAGTGATTTGATACACAAGTGTATCCAGTGTGTTACAAACACTAATCCAGGCAGAAGTAAAATAAAACACACTTCCTGTATTGTCTGCAAACTTCTTTGCACCAGTGTTTTTATTATCATTTTACAATACACATTGCAGTTGCCTAAAACTGCAACTGTTGCATGGTTTTCAGAATTTGCATTGTAATTGTAATTGCTTATTAATTGAAAGGCACGCTTTAAAACTGGTTTACCCCAAAAGTATGGATCTCATTTTATTACTATCATGGCACAATTGGGCAGCAATAATCTTGATCAAAGGCCAACATTCTTAAATCAGTTTGGATTTTGACAGGCATATCCATTAGTTGCAATGATTGAGCAGGTTCCATGCGAATTATGCTAATATAGCAAAATCTGATTGAGTACTGACCAGCATTAGTACTTGTATTCCAGAGATATTGTTTGAACACTTCCTACCAATGGCTTCTTAAAAGTCCCATTCTTAATTAACCAATTTAAACAGCATTTTAAGACATGCATATAGATGTAGAGAATTTGACCAAATCCCAGAGCCATACTTGTAAAGTGGTACATTCTGCATATCTTCAAATTGCGGTGTCAAAGTTGCCCCCATCATAAGGTCATTCATTCTTCTCATAATAACGTTGTTTCATAGCTCTGTATTTCCTAAGATAATACAATGCCTCGAGTTCCTTTATCACAAACTCTCCTCGAGCTATTAATGCCTTGATTTGTTCAGGATCTGTAACATCTTTATTTTTAATGAAAGCTGCCTTAAGACGATCTCTGAAGTAGTCTTCTCCTTTTGGATAGTCTTTGCCAAGGTACAGCAACTTTTAAGATAAAATGTTCATCTTTTAGTCCAGGGAAATGCATTTAATTTTTTTTTTGTTTTAATAAATCAATAAGTATCTTTTTACATGCTGTTCCCTCATTAGTTAAGGGATTTTCAGGCACTAGTTTTAAAACTTTTCAAAACTTTGGAATAATCTGTTTTTGAGATGAATAGAGGAATTTAGTTGATAACTTCCAAATAAGTAGGCCAGGGAGGACCAGAGTCTCAATATCAATGTTGGGTGGTTCTTTTTGCAAGGGAAGAAATAACCCTCCAACTATGGTGACAATGATTCACAATTCTAAATTCCTTATTCAGGCCAGTGCGATCTCTTCCTGGGTCAGTTTCAGTTGCTCAAGTTGAAATCTGAGATGAAATTCCCAAATCTGTCCTCCCACTAGGCCTATGATTTTAATACTTTTTTTTCCATCTCTTCTAGATGAGTGCTTTGTGAAACAAGTACGGTATTTCAACTGTACCAGACAGCCTGGATGGAAGAGGTTTTCACTTTTGTTCTGTTTAACTCCCTCCTCCCTAGCAACACAGTTTGTACTAGATTACGTGTTCTGTTAAACATGCAGCAAGGTTTGAAACCCTGTGTTTTATCCTCCTATAATACAGAATGTTTCCAGCTTTGCCTCCTTAGAAGCTTTCAGCTTTCTTGCTCCCAACCTCCTGGAATTTTCTCTCCATCCTTGTTCCTTTTTTTTTTCCTATTTTCCTACCCAGCCTGACTGACGTTTGAGCTAGTCTGCCCAGTCCATTTTCTCCAATGACTGAAATGCTTTGTTAAAGGTATGAGATGATTTGTGCTTAAGTGTCATTAAGAAAGCATTCATTAAGTCAAAAGCTAGATGGAAGACTGGCATTTGTAGTGTTTAAATGAAAAGATCTTTTAACCAAGTTAATCCTTTTATCACTGCCTGGCAAATATTCCCCACCATATCAGACAAAACCAGGGGCTTTGCCAATGCTTTTGGATATGCTTCATTTGTAATTTCACAGGCAACGGAGGTGAACATTCAAAGCATCAGCAAATAGCCTGTCCCGACATCATTGAGTGAAAACAACCTAGGACACTGCTCTTTCTACACTTTATTTTTAGATATTGGTACTCGAGCTACTATTTTACTTCTCTCCTCTCCTCCTGAGAAGTCATAGAATATGACTATTGCAATGGCTGGACTGCTGCAATTTGCAAGCACTAATGTATTAATTTTTTTTATCCTTTCTTATTCATCTGAAACTTCCATTCCTTATTTTTGTGCAATGACAGTAGAAAATGAAGTGTTTTTAAAATCTAGTAGTTACTAAGGTGTCCATTTCCACGGGGTGTCAGATTCCACAACAGCATGTCATCTAGTCCCAGTTCCCTGCCATTTCCACACCTGAGATTGTTGACTTGCTCGCCGAGCTGGCTTGTTCTCGTTCAAACGTTTCATCATGCTAGGTGACGACATCAGTGGAGCCTCCATTGAAGTGATGTTGTTCTACTCCACTTGGAATTTGTACTGTCTGGTCCGTTATAGTGAGTAGTGTCATCTCCGGTTTTTGATCTGTATGGGTTTGTATATGGGGTCCAATTCTGTTTGTTGATAGAATTGGACCCCATATACATCAACAAACAGAATTGGACCCCATATACAAACCCATACAGATCAAAAACCGGAGATGACACTACTCACTATAACGGACCAGACAGTACAAATTCCAAGTGGAGCAGAACAACATCACTTCAGTGGAGGCTCCACTGCTGATGTCACCTAGCATGGTGATGAAACATCTGAATGAGAACAAGCCAGCTTGGCAAGCAAGTCAACAACATCATCCCACCCCAGAGTCAACAACCTCTTTGCCAAAACTATGGATTTCCACACATTCTTAGACCCTTTTTTTGAAAGCCATGATTGAATCTGCCTCTATCATACTCATGCACATTCCACATCTTTGCCACGGGATGAATTCCTGCTTCTAGTTCTTGTCTTTTTGCCAAAGTTGCCCTCTGGTTCTTATCCTCCAATTGGAACAGTTTCTCCCATCTAGTGTTCCAAACCCTGAGGGATTTTGACAGATTTGCCTAATAGTAACACTGTGTCCTACCTTGGGAAAGGAGCATTAACTGTGTCTGTTAACACTTGTTGCCACATGTCCACTGAGGATCTCTTCTGTTGTTTCAGCTTTATTTGACCATACAATACTTAATTCAGTCTAAGGCACTAGATTCAGATTCTAATCACTACAGGGGCATGAGTTTGAACCCAAGTGGTGTGAAAATTTGTTGCGAATGGCTCTTTGTAGCAGTTCGTTTTTTTGGACATGACTTCAGTTCCAGTTTGAGGGCTCTGTACCATAGTCGAAGTGACCCTTCCTCTAGGGCAGAAGGTTCTGCCTGCCCAGGTGATGTCATGGCAGGTTGCTTTAAAGTATCACAAAGATAATTCAATTTTGAAATTAGAAACCCAATTGATTCTGTACCCTTCTCTACCCTGACCTAAAGAGGATTGAGGTTGATTTGCTGTGTACCTAAGGCAGCACAGGCTAACACAGATTTACATACAAAGAGTTTGGCCTGGAAATGTGGTTTTGCATGATTTAATACCATATCAAGTAGTAGATCTACCTACTGAAACAACTGTTTAACTATAAATTCAATGTTACAGTAGATGACCAGAAACTTACGTTTTTATACAGTTTTATTACTTCACTTCTTAAAGGATTTGCCATCCAGCTTTTCACTGTCTCTGTAACAAAACAGAGGTGTCAAATTTAGGCACACTTTAAACAGTAGTCTCGGGTCAGTGAAGCAGACTTCCCTTGAAGACAGGATTCAAGCCCACCTGCAAGACTCGAATCCAGAATTTGTGCTGACACTTTTGTTCAAAGAGTAATGGAGTCCTGTGTTTCAATGATTTACATTCCATTTGCTGCTTAGGCGAATGGTTATGATCCTATCATACTACAAATTCTGGAAAGTTCTTGCTCACCTTGTCAACAGAAGGTTATTAAGTTTCCTTGCTGACTTTAGAATACAAATTAGTTACTCATTTTGTGGACAATCATAGCAATTTCATTTTAATCACTGTTTATTGGCTATCCTTCGTCCTTGAAGGACCTTCAACCTGCTGTTTGAAATGTGTGTAAACAAAAGTTAACATTCAAAGTGACAGAACAACAACCATAACTAGATTATCATAGATCAAACTTCATAAATGGTCACTTGAGTAATTCATATCAGCTTTATGATAAATGTTGTTAAAAGTTGTCAATGTAGGAAAAAAAGTTACATCTACAAACAGCTGGGAAAAACAGCATCTGCTCAAAACCCACTGGCCTCTGCCTTCTGTAATAATGACCATGGGTCACTCCTCAAAACTGACATCCACGTGTTGCTTCATATCACCTATGGTACTCTTGTCAGAGTCACAAGGTCCAGACTTTTCTACAAAATTTTAATAGTCCAGAGTAGTACTGAGGGAGCACTGCATTGTTTTGGATGTGCTGTTATTTGAATGAGTTCTTTAAACCGAGGACCCTTTCAGCCTGCTTTTTTTTTTTGGTGATCATAAAAAGCATTAGTTAAATACAAATCTGTTTATTTGCTGATGCTATAAAGCTTTGTCTTCCAACTATAGTACATAACCACAATCCAAAACATAGGTATTTCACCAGTTAAACAAGAACAAAAGTAGCCAGTTCAGTTCCCAATATCATCTCTATTCCCTGTTTGGCTGATAGATCAGAACTGTCAACAAAAAAAGCACCAGGACATTGCTAGCTTAATTTACATCCAGACTCTGTCCACCACTAGTAGCTGCAGCTGAACTAGGGGAACAGACTGTCCCACGTCTCCTTCGGGAATGTGCTTCTGCAAAGATATGGAGAAGATGCAGTGGTTCTTGTCGTGGTTTGTCCCAAGCAGCTCTGTGATACAGGACTGTGCATTTCAGAGAACAGCTTGTAGAGCACATCGAGACAAACGTTGACTGCGCCTAGAGGACCAGCAACTCCAGAGATGCTGTCTGAGCTGCCCAAAACTTGCTGGCCTTCTATTGCGAAGAACCTAACCAAATGTTGCACATTCCAAGGTCGAGGACTATGTGCCGAGGGAAGCACTAAAGCTTGGGGCAGCTGCTGCCAAGGCACAGTGAGGGAAAACCACCATTTAGCATCTTTCTACCAAAGCACAATGGGGGTCTATTCAGTTATCAAACCCACTCAATGTGTCAAATGTACATAACTACGGCCATGTACAAGAAAGAAATGCCTTGTTTTTTTTTAAAATGCAGGAAATGCCAAATTCCAATGTTTGTTTGTTATTCATGTGCAAAGACTGCACAGAAGTGCTTCAGTATCTGTATATATAAAAACCGAAAGAACTGCAGATGCTGTAAATCAGCAACAAAAACAAGTTGCTGGAAAAGCTCAGCAGGTCTGGCAGCATCTGTGAAGAAAAAAATCAGAGTTAACTTTTCGAGTCCGGTGATTCTTCCTCACAACTGAACTTTTGCCAGAAACGGAGAGGAGGGGACGTTGAGTTCTGGGGAAGGGTTACTGGACCCGAAACGTTACTCTGATTTTTTTTTCCTTAACAGATGCTGCCAGACCTGCTGAGCTTTTCCAGCAACTTCTGTTTTTCTTTCTGTGTATATATGAGATGTTTTTAATGAATAAAGTATAGTTGTGCAATAAAATGTTCCAAATCACTAAACTCTACCTGTACCACCCTGATTGGTACTGGTTTGCTCTATGATGGAGACCGTTCCACCAAGTCACACTCCCAGACTTGTCCCAATTTATACCCTAAGTCTGATCCATGTTCAGCCATGTTGCGTAGTTCATTATCCTCCCTCCTGCCTGACACCATGAGCACCTTCACATTGACTCCAGCAAAATGTCAACCCCCCCCCCCCGGTTACACCCAACAACCGAGCCTCAATCACAATCCCGGGCCCTACCGGCGGCAGCAGACACCGACAGCCAGAAGCGCAAGGTGATGGGGGCCACTGGTGCAGAGACGGAAGCCGTTGCCGCAAACTGACTGCCAGCCCCTGTCGTAAACAGTCCTTTGCGGCAGCGGGCTGGGGAATGTGCCGCGCCTGCGTCCTGCGGCCGGGAGCGTCTCCCAGCAACGGAGCCACGGTAAACAAGCTTGGCGCCTAGCAACGCGGCCTGGCCTTCGACCTGTCTGCAGTTATATCGTGCAACTTTCTGTTTTTATTGCAAACCACCCCTCGAACAAGAAGCCAAGATGGTGAGTTTAAACAGGGAGAGATTTTTTAAAAATTTTAATACTATAATATGAATAACACATTACAGAAGAGGCCCTTCGGCCCATCCAGTACCCACCGACAAAAGA